GAGTTGTATCGGAGGATCTTGGTTTTCCCTTTGTGTATGTTGAGACCTACTGCTGCAGAGACTGCTGCCACACCGGTCGCCCGTGTGCGATAGAAGATCCAGGTCATCTGCGAAGTCCAGATCGTCCAGCTGCGTCCTAACTGTCCGGTTGATACCGTATTTCATATCAGATGTTAATGATTCCAGATAGCCAGCAGCTTTCACGACCAACTTTGTTGAACCCCATTGATCCCTATTAATCATTTCAAAATAATATTCATTTATATAAACTCTAATGTTATCCAGTTGTAAAAAAATAGAGAATTTTTTTAAAAAAGGTTCAAGGATTTCAAAAGACATGATGTTTAACTTTCTCTTGCTTCTTTTAATTTTATCCACTTCAGATAATAATAATAATAATAATAATAATAATAATAATAGTAATAATAATAATAATAGTGAAGCAGTTTAAAACACCCACTTATTATTATAGATACATACTATTTTACAAACAATACATTACATGCAAAACAAACATAGAACTAATCTTGGAAGAGAGTTAGTTATATAGAAAAAAAATAATACCCCAAATCATTTCAATACAACAAGTAGGTCACCATAGTAATGAGTGAATGAATTCAACTATCACGTACACGTACACACACACACACACACGTACTTACAAATACACACGTACAAAAAAAAAGAGAATTGTAAACACTCACAAGGAAGCCATTATTCATCAATAATCTCTATTAACAATAGAGTTAGTTGGTCGCGAGACAATTGTATAGAGGAGTATATATAGTTTAATCAAAACTACAACTATCTATATAAGCATATGAAAGGTAGGTAGGTATCAAGTGTACCACGCCATATAGATTAGCGATGATCTCTCTGTTTGCTGACTCAAATGTCTGAAGTGACGAACTGTAGAATATAGCTAAGACAAATGTGAATGTAGGTTAAGTCTTACAACACCGATCTAAGAGGTATTGATTGCTGTGAAAGTCATGAGAGGTGGTTATTGATTTTATTTCAAACTAATTAAAATAATGAGCAATTAGAATAAAAGTTTTTGAAATACAAGAGTTACTTTGATTTCTTTCATGTGATGCTTTAAACTTTCATAAACTACTAATGAAGATATAAGTGTAGCGAGCGAGAGAGAGAGAGAATGATTGACCTAAGAAATAGTTACGTTTTAGGGAATGGAAGACTTGTTTTTGAGTAAAACGTGTTTTAGTAGTTACGATTATATGTGAAAGACATTTGTAATGACCAGTTTAAATGATAGATGATTGAAGAAGGTAGCTGGTACATAACCTGTCAACTACCTTTTCAATCACCTAGCATTGTTTTGAGTGCTTTTAAGTGTTTTATACAAAACACTTTCACTTCGTGATCTATGCGATTTAAACAAGCAAGTATTATTAAATGGTTCATAAGAAAAATGAAAAGTAGAGACATTTTAGAATTTCATATATTTCTGGATCGTAAACAAACGAAGAATTGATTTCAAAAGACAGACAATCAAACAGTGACGTTGTTGTCAAGGTCTTGACAGTCAAGAATTCAAAAGAAGCATTAGTTTTCCTATTGACATGTGTCAAGTAGCATAAAACCTGGTTCTAGAGTTGTCTGTAGTCTACTTCCAACTACTTAAGTGCTACTTGTAAAGCACTCAATATCAAGTCACTTATATTCGTGAAATTTTTTCGAACTCGCTCTACTTTCATATACGGTTTAAAATTCAAAGTTTGAGACATTCTAATCGCAAAATTACATGATGTGTATAAGTTAACTACCTGATCGTTACATTGTAGGTTAGTCGAAGAAGGTTAATATTAGATTAACCACTGAGTATTCGATAATTCAAAATAAATTCTAGTAAGAAGATGTGACTAGTGGAGTTCAACCCTGTCCGATGTAGGCAGTAACTACTGAAGACAAATAGATGAGGTTGCGCGAAATCGGTTAGGCGTTCCTACTCAATAGCACACTGTACGATTTCTTTCGTGCGCAAACCAAAGATCTTAGATTCAGATTCTGCAATTAGCAGGAGCCGTGGATGCACACCGCTGATGAGTCCCATACTAGGACGTAACTGCCGTCCAGTGCTTCCAGGTTTTTAATGATGGCCTAACAATGGCTGTTTTATAATTTCAGTAAAAAATAACTTATGTTAGAGAATGATGGCTCAACATTGTCATTTTCAATTGTCGATATTAATAACTCGTTGGATGCCGGCCCAGTGGTCCAGTGGTTAGGCGTTCACGCACAATACCGAAGGTCCCGGGTTCGAATCCTGGGAGGGGCAGGAGTCGTGGATGCGCACTGCTGATGAGTCCCATACCAGGACGAAACGGCCGTCCAGTGCTGCCAGGTTTCTAATAGTGGTCTAACAATGATTGATTGATGATTTCAAATGTGTAATAACACAAACCTCCAAAACTCTGCCCCAAAATATATTAAAAGCCTGCAATTTTTGTTTGATAATGTCAATCACCAATAAATCTAAATTCATTTATACAAATGATTTCAATGGATTATTACAAATATTCAACACTACTTAACAACATATGATAAAAATAGGTGATAGTTAATCTCTAATTTTTTTTCCGGGTTAATTCTAGTGGTACTCTAGTGGTTGTTGCATAATACTTGTTTTTAAAAAAAATTCACAAACCAAATGACTGATTTGGTTGGTGATTTGTAGAAATACGATACAATATCCATTGAATGAATGAATCAGTAAACTAGGCTACTAGGATTTGTCTAGTTCATATTAAGGGCAGGTGTTTCATTCTGTTATGGGACTCTTCAACAATTTTCATATAATACTCTTGAAAAAGTAAAACTCAAGACCGTTAGGCTTCACCATGACCAATTAAGCTTCAGATTACTAGATTGCAATCTGATGGTTTACACTTTCACTAAGAGTTTATGTGGAAACTAACAAAAACTTTCAGGAAATTGATGAAGTGTTAAAAACTGATTAGAGGGATGAACGATGAAAGGAAATAGATATTTTTTTCAAAGGACCACATATCGAATCATGAATGATCAAAAGACAAGACGACAATCGACAATAAATACGTGCATTTCCCTGTGCTTCTTTCTCAATCGTCAGTTGCTGATCAACTAGATTTTATAAAAAAATTATTCATTCAAACAATCTCAGAAGAACATGAGATCACAATAGGTACCTAAGAAGTATGACATTAAAAAAGGCATCTAAAAAGATGCTTTGAACTCTAGAAATAAGGAATATTTCTAAGCGAATATGATTGTAAAAAACAACTTTCTCATGACCTTAGTTCGTGTAGTAGTTAGTTCCTGGACAGACAAACTATAGTTAGTCAAAACATACAATTATATAAAAAGAGCAAGGCCAAACAAGACATTACCCGGAGTAACGGAGACAAACATGACAAGAATGAACAACAATTGGATAGAACTGGAAAGTGAGACCCAAGACAGAGTAGATTGGAGAATACTGGTCGGCGGACTATTATACTCCATCGGAGGTAACAGGCATTAGTGAGTAAGTAATTCAAATACAATTATATATAAAATAAACTATATTTCAATAAAAATTTGTCATTTAACATAACTAACTTTCCAAATGACGACATGATATGATTTTTTTTCTTACAAAGAAAAAAAATCAATATCTTTAAGGAATTCATCTTTCGCCAAATATTGTCCTCCTCCTCCTCCTCCTTCTGATGTGATGTCATGTCATGAGCGGAAAAAAAACAAAGGGAATCAGTGTATAAATGTGAGCAATATCGATTTTTTTCTCTCCTTCATATCTGTAAAACAATGAAGATGTTTCTTTGTTTTTTTTAACAGAAAATATAACAATAATAATATTAATAATCATAACAGTAATGAAAAGATTGTAATCTATTGTGCAAAAAGGTTTGTGCATGAATTAAATTGTTTTGTGGGAAAAAAAAATCATAACCAAAGAGAGAGACCAAAATGAAGTAGAGAGGAAGAGAAGAAATCAAGGTGAAACGAAATTGAAAAGGAGAAAACTCACTAGAGAAAAAACAACAACAACAACATTAACACTGAAATGAATGCAAACTAAGGGAAATCTATAAACAACATTAACTCTCTCTCTCTGTATATATATGCATGACACATTACAATTGAGTATTAGATAAGTGATCCATCTCTATCTGCCTATCTATCTATCTATCTGCTCAACTCAGTCTGTAAACATTTGTAAATGTCAATCGTAGATTATTGTTAGACAATTATTTTTTTTGAATATAACACAAAAATAGATAACGCGTAGAGGGTCTTCTGCCTCAACAAAAAATAAAACTAGACATTTTTTTTTCATTTTGAACAAGTAACTAAACAAACAAACAAATATTTGATCTGTTAGTTAGTTAAAACAATGTCACTCACTACATGTATAGATGCAGGTAGGTAGGTAGGTAGGTAGGTAGGCATGTATGAGAATACATTGTAATGAATTTGGAAATATTCTACGAAACACTAAATATCATGATAATTCAGTTTGTGCCTTATTGAAATGCGTATAATTTCCAATGAGATTTGATAATTGAAAACAAGGGGTAAGGGGGAGAAAAAAATAACTTCCATAAAAATGAACTAAATTAAGAAAATATGAATAACTACAAAGTAAAAACGTGATAAGTGTACACTGATAAACCATATTAGAAACAATCATTTCTTTGTTAGTTTTTTCTTTTTCAATTCAAAACGTAATTGATTGGTGGCTGTATTGTCATGATTTCTTTGGGATATATATATATATATATATATATATATATATATATATATATATATATCGTTTAAGGTAGATCAAAGGTAACTAGCCGATTTTTCGCATTTTCTGAGCACACACTAACTTACATAATCAATCATTCAACGACCTTTCTTTTTAAAAAACATTTTCAGTGAGAAAAAAATTGAAAATGTAATATTCAAGATCTATTGAACATGAGAATGATATGATTAGTGTAAATTTAGGTATACACAAATTCTATAGCAAACTAATGACTAATTCAAACAAATATATATATATATATAAACTCAACTGTATGTTGTTGAATATTGAACAAAACTGAATCCGAAACACAAACTGGTCATTAGTGTAGAGAGAAATTATCAATTTAGAAAAGGGAAAGAAATAATTTTGAAAAAACGCGCGCGCGCGCGCACACACGCACACACACATTAAAACAAATTCGAATTCAATAGACTAACAATGATTCTGTTGATGATGATGATGATGCTGACCATCTTGTGTTGTTTCATGATAAAATAATTTTCCTTTAATTTCACCTGTAAATAATGTTTGTGTAGTGACATTGTGAGTGGATTTTTTCTGTGTACTAAATGTAGACGATAGTAGACATTGACATGGACAACCTGGTTTATGCAATCGATTCAAATGGACATTAGGATCAATTTCATTTTCGGCATAATTGAAAGACGCTGTATTTGTTGTTGATGTTGTTGTTGTGGTTGCTGATGCTAATGGTTCCAGTTGAATACCGGACATAATGCTAGGTATTTCAGATAAAGTATTCAAATCAGACAATGATTCATTACTGACTGATAAACTACGTTCAGCATCCACTGGATTATATTGTGATAATAAAGCGTGACGAGGAGGATGATGATCTCTGGTATGATTATATTCATTAGTATGATTATTATTATTATTACTAGTATTATTGACAACATTATTATTAGTAGTACTATTGTTGAGCACATTTGAATTTGTACACTTTACTTGACTTGTAAATTGTTCAATCTCCCAAACATTGATCATACGTACATTAGCAAATTGCTTCACAACAAATTCATACTCTGTTGACATATTATCTTCATCAAATAATGATTTGATTGATTGATCGGATTTATTCATTGGATTATCAGTGAATTTATGATTTTTCTGTTCGACAATGATTAATTCATCGGAATTATCTAAACCGGAATCTGGATCATCATTCAATTGATTTAGAATGGTGGTATTGTTGTCACTTTCAGTGGAATGATTCATTTTAGCTAATTGATTAATAATTTGATCTGTTTCTTTCCAAACACATGTAGCACGCCATTTTGCTCGTGAATTTTTCGGTGCTAAAATTGCATTGAAATAAACTATTTCTTTAATCTACAAAATTCACAATAGAAAAAACAAACAAGACAAACATTTAATACGTAGAAAAGGAGAAAGAGGACATTGTATTTAAAATTTATTCTCAGAATTGAAAATGTACATCGGTTTAAGTTCCCATATCCTTTTCCAATCCCGTAGTGGTAGATGTAGTAGAACTGTTAGCGGTAATGGAGAAGATTAGAGTTCAAAGATATTATTCAAGAAGTATAATCCAGTTAAATAAATTTAGAAAGAGAGAGATAGAGGTGATGAGGAATTTAGAAGATTATAATTTGAGGGAAGACAATGGATGGATGCACTTGCGCCATTACAAACGATTTTGAGCCATATCGTTCAAGGTCTCTAACCATCAGGTCACTACTGTCTCGCGGACCCCAACATCATAGTCTGCACCTACCAAAATGATTCAATCGACTTGTCAGTTACATCATAGATTTGAGCCATATTTTGGTCTGGCCGCCTCTAACTCTCTTCGAACCTACTCCTACACCACAAAACATTGCTCGTCGGGGCAATCGATGGTTGGGCATATGTTACACTTGTCTCAACCATCTCAGCTGACAGTTTCAGTAGTTCATCTGTTGGTTTGCCATCCTTACCTAGTACCCTTTTTCTGTCCAACAGTATTGCTTGCCAGATAGTAGTATTGTAGTGAAGGAGAACACAGGTGAGGGCAACCGAATTGTATCTAACGAAAATTACAGAGTTAGTTACTCAGTAAAATCGGAAAACCATATCGTAAATTGTTAATTTGCAAAATATCAGTCCATCATATCGAACTGGACTGTTCCTGTTGCAAAACATCAATCTATTGTCACTCACTGTTCATGCGTTTCATACAAATTCCATTTGGTGTTCTTACTCTTCCTTTCTTGATCTTACCCCATCTTCCGCTGCCAGATATTACGTTGACACTCATGTCATATACTACTTATAAGTAGCTCGCACCACAGTATCAGTAACTTACATCTAGGACGTGATTGACATTTTAAAAATCTTAACTAACAATCTTATTTGAAACAAAGAAGTTTGCTAAAAAAACATTACTTCTTATGACAATGATGTTTACTTTCTAGAGATGATTGAATTAGATAAAAACAACTTTTATATCGTACCGTACTTCTTTTGTATACTTATAAAAAGGTCAACTAATAAAAAACCAAATACAGCTAACAGAACTAGATAGAAAGCCAAAGGAATCCTTACAGAAGATCAAGAATCTGTCTCAGAAAAAAACAACATTGATAGTTGAACGAAGTAGCACTTAAGGAGTTAGTGAGAAAAAAACGATTGAGACAATACAGCAAAGAGAATATTTTTGATGAGATCATTTATTTAAGTTGTGTACAATTGTACTTTATAGTTGACTTTCAATAAAAAATAATCTATTGTAAGATAGAACGAAGATTACATTATTTTATGTGTTAAAGTAAATAGCTTTATAATCGAGAATTGAAGAAAGTAAGATGAAACAAATTGTGAAAAAAGATAATTGCCCATTTGATGAGTATAAGAAGGGTGAAAAGTAAATTAAAAGCCTAAAGATGATCATAATTCATGACTGATATTCAGTAGAATAAAAAAACCCTTAGGAGGATTTATTATAATCAATCAGCGTTAAGGAAAGTTAAGTGTTAGAGTCAAGGAAGAATGATGGCTTACATGTATCCTATTTTGCATCCAGAGTTCAAGTTTGAAATGATGGGTTTCTAATGCTCTTGGAGTGCATAAATTATCCATTTATGCTCCTTTCAAACGACATCGTTAATTGTATAGTTGATTTTAAAAGAATTGTCAAGTGAGGCGATGTGACCAGAGTTCACTAGAAACTCTAAGAGTGAACTGTTGATAGACTTACATTGACGTTTAGAAAATCGTGCTGGATAGTATTGAGAGGTGCGTTTGGAAAGCGGTCGCTTTATGCAGCTCATGTAACGTGCTCCACAAGAGCAATTGAACTTATTAATACATTTTTTAGGAACATCAGCAGGAGGTTAGATTGTCCTTTATTCATCGTACCTTCCAAGCAAATACGCCTGGCTCTTGATGATAAAGAATGAACTGAATTTCTCTTTCTACTAAAAGGGACCCAGATGTGTAAATATATATATATATATATATATATATATATATTTAACCGTGTCGGGTATGAGGTAGTCATCAAGCAAAGACAACAGATGATGATCGCACAATATCGCGGATTGGTTGATGTTCGACGTAAACACCATTCGACATCAACCCATTCGTCTAGATGCTTGTGCTCAAGAAAGGTTTTGGGTTCGGTTCTGGAGCTTATATTTGTTATGCTTCTGTTAAATATAACTCACTGGATAAAGAAAAATGATGCTGATTGTTTCGAGTCACATAGTCTCAATACATTATCGATAGGGAAATAAATTTACTTGTTTTATATACTCAAAATCTCTGTATCCGCCACGAGGAAATTTCAATTATGGTAAACTATAAGCTCAGTAATTTGAGATCGTGAAACTCACTTACTGACAGTAACGTCCGAACCCTCAAATGAACTAATTCATTTTAGGAAGTCATATAGGGTTTTTCAAAGCCATAATGAAAGGTGTGGATTAAAGTTAAGTGTATACACTTGTATATTAAAAAAATATTCGAGATGACGTATCGAGCAATTCATTGAGAAATGTGGATCAACGGATGTAGAAATGTTATCGAGATCTGAAGAAAATACAATTTTACGAGCTGGATGAAATGGTTAAGGAAGCTTTTAAAGAAACTCCAGCACTTTTACCAGATCAAAACAAGACTTATGAAAATTGGAAAAAACTTATTATAGGATTTTGTACAATACAGTTTAGTTAAAAGTAGGTTGCTTTTTTGAAGACTAATACTATTATGTCTTCATATCAGTCAGTCAGCTACAACTTAGAACTTTGTACGTACGCACATCAGTTCAAGTCGCTATACCATATTAGCCCAGAGATGCAATTTTCAGTTCAAATCCCATAGTGGTAAAGATAACAGAAGCATTAGCGGTAATGGAGAAGATTAGGGTTCGAAGGAATTATTAAAGAATTATAATCCAGTGAAATAAATTTGAAAAGAGAAAAAAATTTCATGAGGAATTCAGAAGATTAGAATTTGCGAGAACACAAAGAGCGGATACACCTACGTTATTGCAGACGGTTTTGAGCCATGTCATTCAAGGTCTATAACCATCAGTTACTATTGTCTCACGGACACCTGTTAACATGTTTCAGTCTAGCTGTCAGTGACTCCACAGATTTGTGCCATGTTTTGGTTTGGCAGCCCCTAGCTTTCTTTTAGCCTACTCTTACACCACCAAACACAGCTCGTCGAGGAAGTCCTCATATATGGTTCTTATGCTGATCCAACTCAACGCTGATTGTATTCTCTAGGAAATGCGCAAAACTGTAACTCTGCATATATTGCCTTGTAATCCTGATTAATTCAGTTAAACAATCATTGAATGGTGTATATTTGAATACCTGGATAACTATTTACGTAAAGCACAATGGTATTTTTTTTCTGATGAAATAAAAAGTAACTTATCAAAGAAAAAAATAGATTATGCCAAGATAACTAAAGATCTGTAAGATAAATCACTAATTCATGTGATACTACTAATAATAATCAAACCCAATAATACAAATATTCAGCATCAATGACAAGCTACTACTTATACTTGATCACATATGATAATCGATTACAAATATTAATCAGTTTCAAGAAAGCTGATGAACAGAGTTGTACAGTTTCAATAGGTGTCTTTAAACTAGGCTACAGATATCTTATTAGTGAAAAATTGTCATTATACGCATGTATGCAAAAAAGCATCAAAGATTAAGTAGTGTTCTTTATAACATGGTGTTTATCAACTAAGCAATCTGTTAATGAGCATCAGTGTGGAGTATACTAAATATGCTTCATATTATGCTCAATAGCTTAATAAATAAAAACACTATAAATAGTAAAATGGTGACGTAAAAAAAATTAATAAGGCGACAGACTAAAACAATTAATTTAAGGCAGCATTATTGCTGATTCAAAACAGAGATTAGAGATTTTATGCAAGATACAGTTGAGAAAAAAAACACAACAGAAAACAAGCGAGAAATGTTTAAACTATATTATTTAAAGTTCTCACTGAAAAAAAAGAGTAACGAGCAGTTTTTTTGAAAAAAAGTACTTATTTTATTGAATATTGTTTCTCAGACAAAGAGAATGATATTTCAGTGAGCATTGATTCACAAAAAATTATTTAAGAGCATATAATTACTCAGTAATCAATACTATGTTATGGGATTTAATGGTAGTTAAAATACCTATCATTAATATTGCTTCAAGATTGGCTTGCGTCGGCACCTGAACTAGTGAGAGGGATTCAATCAGTTAATCGTGTTGAGAGATTCATTTATCTCAGTAATCTTATCAGTGCTAATGGTCTGGTGACTGACGAAATCTCAGTGCGGATACAGAAGGCTCGACTGGCTTTTACTAACTTGCGTCACTTATCACGTTGGCGAGGTATCCGTCTGCTAATCAAAAGACGAGTGTACAATGCAGTAGTTCGCTCCATTCTCCTATATGGATGCGAAATAAGGCCGGTGAAAGTTGAGGATATTCGTAGGTTGTTTGTATTCGATCATATATGTCTTCTAAGCATTGTTCGTATATCCTGGGACAATCAAGTAAGCAGTTCTGTTGTTAAAAAACGGGTATAAGGTAAGGATGGCAAATCAATAGATAAAGTATTGAAGCTTTATCAGTTGAGGTGGTTGGGACATGAGTTATGAATGCTTAACCAACGACTAACTCGATGAGTGATGTTTTGCAGTGTAGGAGTAGGTTGGAAGAAAGTTAGGGGCGGCAAAACCAGAACATGGCGCAAATCTATGAAGTAACTGACAACTGGGTTGAGTCATGTTGGTGAGTGTAAACTACCTGCTTGGGGTCTGCAAGGGTTAGGAGCCTTGAAGGACATGGTTCAAAATCGTTTGCGGTTGCGCAGGTATACCCATTCTTTGGCTTTTCTCAAATTTAAAAAGAAAACTATTTATTATCAACGAATAGAGAGCTATAAAGTTTCAGTATCATAACAACTCGGTCGAGCTATTTGTCTAAAGTACTTCCTTTTTAAGATAATATAGAGCCATTTAAGTCGATTGTTCAGTTATGGGATCAAAAGTAATATTGTTTAAACTGAAAATTGAATGTGTACTGCCAAAAGCACCTTAAGTTGGTGTCAGTTGGCCTATTCAGTCAAACAACCAGCATTTTAAACTGTATAATTTGATAGACGAGAAAAAAAGTTAGAAAGCATGAGTCATAAAAACAGTGAATCCTCCTTTAATCCCATAGTTCTGATATCAGCGATACCATTTAAAAGACATAGAACCAATACTATAGAATAAGAATAAAACATTTTCAGAAATCATCGTGTGTAGCAAGCTAAAAACAGCTGGACTTGAGTCTTTAACTCAAATTCCCAGCCTATTTTTCACATTCTAGAACATAAAATGCTTAAGGTATATGGAACCAAGAAGTAGAAATGGCATCGAAACTTTCAGAATTACTCAAATTTATCCTGTTCAAAATCAACTAACTTTTTTTAGTTCTTGTTACCAACTTTTTCATCAACTTTATTTTCCATGCTTGCAACCAGGGATAAATCATTATTTACAAAACTCTGTCCCTGTGTTGCGCTGATATATTAAACCTTATGTTGATGCTCTCAATATTTAAAACGCCAAATTAAAACAGTAATATTTGCTAACTAAGATTCTAGGATCTAACTGTGTCTATTTGCATGGTCTTTCAGTCAGCATAAAGAATCAGAATGGTTTATCCTTTGGTTCTGACTGATGTTGCATTTTCTAAAGGCCACTCAGTATCTGCACACGTATAAAATTGAGCTTAGAAACAGAGCTAGGGCTATCAGATTGGACTTGAGAGTCACATATGGATTTTTCAACCAAACTCTGTATAATCGATACATGCAAAGACGCTTGCCAAAGATCTGCTTGACTCTAATTACATGTACGAATAATACTATCTCTCACGTTATACACAGATGATTAGTGTGCATATGCACCAAAGAACTTATTGTTTGAAGGTGTAGAAGCATGCCCAAGAACCTACTGTATTCACTTGGTTTTGCATCAAATGCCATTGAAGATAAGTTTGTATGATTAATAAACAGAGAATACCTTACATAAAAGAACTTAATTTATTCCTGAGCCATTACAACTCTACGGTTGCAACGGTAGTTCAATATTTACTGTGGTTATTCTATAAAAATGATCAAATTTACATGACTGCTACCAAGTTGATCAGAAGAAACTTTAAACTGTCTTCCCAAAACAACATTATGGAATTAAAAACAACAAAATGAGAATGTTGCAGAGTTTCTTATCTGATAGATTTCTAAGTTCAAACATTTGAGAAGTGATAACAACTTACTAAAATATTCAAGATTTAGTATATATTTCCGACAGCAGCATTTCGCTTCCTCCTGTTTTATGGGTGTGAAACATGGCTAGTAAGAATAGAGCATTTTTGTATGTTACTATAAATGCTTTAAAAGAATGGCTTGTTTATTTTGGGTCCAATGAGTACGTGGTGTCTGGGTTGGGAAAAGGGTACTAGGTAAAGACTGAAAGCTGAATGACTAAGTAGTATCTCTTCACCAGTTCGGGTGGATGGGAAATGTTTTATGCATGCCTAACAACAGCCTACGTTGACGAGCAGTGTCGTCTGCTGTAGGAATAGGTTGGAAGAAAGAGTTGAGGGAAGCCAAACCAAAACATAAAACCAGTCTATGCAGTCATTGGTGACTGGACTGATCCATTTAGTAAATGTAGACTAAATAGTTGTGAATCGCGTGATAATCGTAATCATTTGTCAGAAACTGAATGGCCTGGCCCAAAATCGTTTGCAGTGGTGCAAGTGAACCCAATCTTTGTCCTCCTCTGAATTCTAATTTTCTGAATTCATGATAAATTTTTGGCTTCATCGGTTTAGAGCTTCTTGAATCGTATCTCTGATCCCTCAGTTATACTGTTAGTACTTCTACTATTCTGGGATTTGACCTGAAAATCTCATCTCTCTGTGCTGACAGGTTATGGAAACTTGAACTGATGTACTTACGTAGTGAGTTATGTGTTGCAACTGACTGGGAATAAATTTAGTCGGTTACTTATCAGATAGCATAAGTGTGCTTTAAAAAGGGGTTCGCAAGATTTTGAAAACTGTGGTTTGGAAATGATCAAAACCATTCAACTTTCTTTAAGTTTGTATAAGATCTTTCTATTCAGTGACAGTTTGTACTTCGGCTCTTTATAGTTTCAGCCAAATCAGCTAAATCGTGCAAGGTCAAAATAATTTTAAACACGGGATCTAAAATTACCCATATATACTCACCTTGAAATGTTTAGTAAGGTCCGTAACATTCTTAAATAGCGATCTATCAAAGAATACATGCTCGTGGAATCCAAGGTCAATTATTCCCCATAGTCTGTTTACACAAAAGATGCAACCCTTCTGGGAGGTTATAAGGCCACAAGAAGAATCATTCACATGCCTAGAGGCAATAAAAAGATTAAGTTTGTTTGTGAAGTGTACTTCAACGACACTTGTTAGCTCATTAACAGAGAATATTCCATTATATTTTTTGAGAAACTCCAATAGTTCAATCTGAGTCCAGCCAATACAATTTCTGACTAAATCAGGAGCACATGAAAGCTCTGCAAGTAATCTTGAAATCATGATTTCATTCTTTAAGTTATGTTTTATGACGTACATAAGCCAAAATATAGCTTTACAGTCGTCTAAACACACAACAATATTATCCCCACTTTGCATTTTGGGTGCCGATTCCTCGTGATTAGTTGGATGAAGACTAGAATAATTATTGTCTGTGTTGGAACAGAAGACAGATGTACGATGTATATCGTCAGGAAAATGTGAAGAGAGAGGACGCAATCCTTTCTTTTTGCTAAGAGATGGTGGTGCTGTGCTGGGAACTGTCTTGGTTCTGTTTCTTAATGCAACAAGATCACCCTGAACTTCAAAGATGAGTGAATGACGCATCAGAAAATCAGTGAATTCGGATTGAGGTCCAACACTTAGTCGAATATGTGGAGATGCTTGTGACAAGTGTCCGGCCAAATTCCTTATCGGAACCCATCTTTCTGGTTTTCTCAGTAGCTGCTCTTGAAAATATCGAACGGCAGAGGCCTCTGACTCTATAGTGTGTTTATTTCTGATATTCTTTGGGTTTTTAGAGGTGATATTATTGAAACGATTATTATACTGTAATGAATAGTCCTTTTCATTACTCATAGGGCTGCTTATATCAGTAAGACAAACTAGGTTATCAACGACGTTAAAGATTGTCGGGTTAGACAATAAAAATCTTTCGAAAGTATGGTGACTTTTCCCAACTCCAAATTTAAAATCAGAAGTTTGATTAAATTTGTTGCACATAAGTACCCACAAGTTTTTAATGCTTTGTGTTCCACCATACTGTATAAGAAATTCAAGGGCAGCCAAGATATAGCCTTCTGACATCATACAACCACGAGTTTATGGATAAGATCCGATAGGTGTAAATGCGAAAAATATTTAAACCTGCGGATAACCTTGGCAGGCGGCTGTGTTAAAAATACAAACAAACAACGTTTCAACCCAGTTTTAGTTTGAAAAGAACAGAAGGATGGGTTTACTTTGTTAGTCTTAACAATGTCGGTCTTTCAGTTAACCCAAATTATTCTTGAATGCTTTAAAGGCAGCCAAGGCAAATGCGACTCTTCACTTTATGCGAAGACAGCTTGGTGCTATCACCCCGAAATTATTTTTAATCCTGTCTAAGACGTACGCGCACCCACACTTGGGAGTTCACAACGTCATTGCACCCCCTCTGCTTAAAAGTGTTATAAATCTCTTGGATCGAGTGCAGAGATAGGCAATCAAATGGGTGTTCGTGTTGAAAAATAAACCCTACGACGATAGACTCCAGCTCTTCGGATTATTTCCACTGAGCTACAGGAGAATCAGAGGCGATCTGATTATGGCTTATACCATATTAAACATGCCAATCCATCCCACTGTGGGCATCTCCACCACCCAGTGTGCATCATCACCAATCCCCTCGAGGCAATCCTCGAAAGATTGCACATCTAAGAACGAATACTCAGATTCCTGCACAGCTTTTCTCATTGCGAGCCGTCGCAATTTGGGATGCTCTACCAGCCGAGGTGACCACAGCCCTCTCAGTGGACTGCTTTAAGAAGAGACTTGATAATCACGTATTAACATACGGACTATCATCTCCCTCTTGGACAAGCTGTTCATGATGCATATCTTGAGATCTGCTAGTTGTTATCATTGCCATCTCTTCAGATCACTCAATTAATCTATCTCGCCTCTCATCTCTGTTTCTCCTCCCTGGCCTACACTTCGGTCCTCTCTCACAATCTTCACTACCAATTAATAAAGTAAATTCATCTATATATTACTCGGTTCTGAAATTTTATTCATATTAGCAATAGAACTTTATCCTTATTATTCTCCACATTGCAACTAACTGATTTCCGGTCTGGTAATGTGATAGCTGATCTTATCCAGAAACCATACTGCCCTTAAACGAACGTTTTCATTCAAATAACGTGACATACAAACTCACAACCAACTGCCAACTGACTAGAATTAAACAGTCGCGTGGCTAGGCCTCCATCCATTGGACATTACCGAACACCTGGAACCGCACCGAAAGAACAAGAATCGAGCTCTAAGAAATCAAATTGGTTTACACTATCTCGTGAAAAAGATATTGGAGATATATTGGATATTGGAAAAGAAATGGTTTCAATCGAACGTTGAGACAGTGAGCTCAGTTCGTTGAATATTTGTAAGGGATGTTCATAGTCAGAGGAAAAGTAACTTCTTCTGAACTTGTTGTATTGTTTATTGTATTTTTTATTGTCGTTGTTAATTCTCAGAATAGGATGATGTTAAGTAATATATGAATTCTGACATTTAGACAGGCGAATTTTGCTGATCTTTCTACCCATTTTATATTTCATATATGTGACTGGCAGTCAATCGTCGAGAAATGTTAACCAAAGGATTTGACGATTCTTATGGGAGACCTGAATGCCAAGGTTGGAATGGACAACACTGAATATGAAGACATCATAGGACGACATGGACTGGGAGGAAGGAACGAAAACGGTGAGAGATTTGCAAACCTATGTGCCTTCAACAAACTGGTCATCGGTGGCACAATATTCCCGCACAAACGCATTCACAAAGCCACATGGATTTCACCGGACCACACTACTTAAAACAAAATTGACCATATCTGTATCAACAAAAACGTTCAGAAGGACTATGGAGGATGTGAGAACCAGGAGAGGAGCTGATATAGCCTCAGATCACCATTTGCTGATCACCAAAATGAAACTGAAACTAAAGAAGCACTGGACATTGGGACAGACAACATCACAGAAGTTTAATACGGCCTTTCTTCGGGATACTGTAAAGCTCAACGAATTCAAGATAGCCCTCACCAATAGGTTCCAGGCCTTTCAGGATCTAGACAATGGAGAGGACACAACATTGGAGAACAATTGGAAAGGGATTAAGGTGGCAATCACTTCAACATGTCATGAAGTTCTGGGTCACAAGAAGTACCATCACAAGGAATGGATCTCTGTTGGTACTCTTGAAAAAATTGAAGAAAGGAGGAACAAAAAGGCAGTAATCAACGTCAGCCAAACAAGAGCGGAGAAAGTTACCGCACAAACTGCATACACAGAAGCGAACAGGGAAGTGAAGAAGAGCATCAGAGCCGACAAACGAAAATATGTGGAAGATCTAGCAATGACGGCGGAAAAGGCTGCAAGAGAAGGAAACTTGAGACAATTGTATGAAACAACAAAGAAGCTCGCCGGGAACTATCGTAAACCAGAACGACCAGTCAAAAGCAAGGAAGGCCAAGTAATTAGCAACACTGAAGAACAGCGAAATAGGTGGGTAGAGCACTTTAAGGAACTCCTGAATCGACCAGCTCCACTGAACACACCCAACATCGAAGCAGCATCTAAGGACCTGCCAATTAATAATGGTGCACTTACGATTGAAGAGATCAGTATGGCCATCAGACAAATCAAGAGCGGCAAAGCAGCAGGACCAGACAACATTCCTGCAGAGGCAATGAAAGCAGATGTAGAAGCAACTGCGAAAATATTTTACATCGTCTTCAAGAAGATTTGGGATGAGGAACAAGTACCATCAGATTGAAAAGTAGGATACCTCATCAAAATACCAAAGAAAGGCGACCTGAGCAAGTGTGAGAACTACAGAGGCATCACTCTTCTTTCAATACCAGGCAAAGTCTTCAACAAGGTATTGTTAAACAGAATGAAGGACTTCGTAGACGCCCAACTTCGAGATCAACAGGCCGGCTTTCGTAATGATCGATCGTGTACTGACCACATTGCTACATTACGGATCATTGTGGGTCAATCAATTGAATGGAACTCACCACTCTACATCAACTTCATCGACTACGAGAAGGCATTCGATAGCGTGGATAGGAACACACTTTGGAGGCTTCTTCATCACCACGGTATGCCTGAGAAAATAGTTAACATCATACGGAATTCTTATGATGGATTCAACTGCAAAATCGTACACGGAGGACAGCTAACACACTCGTTCGAGGTGAAGATCGGTGTGAGGCAAGGTTGCTTACTCTCACTCCTCTTTCTCCTGGTGATCGACTGGATTATGAAGACGTCGACATCTGGAGGAAAGCACGGTATTCACTGGACAGCTGGGACGCAGCTGGACGATCTGGAATTCGTAGATGACCTGGCTCTTCTATCTCACACTCAACAACAAATGCGAGAGAAGACGACCAGTGTAGCAGCAGCCTCTGCAGCAGTAGGTCTCAACATACAGAAAGGGAAAAGCGAAATTCTCCGATGCAACACAACATGCACCAACCAAATCACTCTTGATGCAGATGCTTTGGAGGACGTGAACACCTTTACATGTCTTGGCAGCATCATCGACGAGAAAGGTGGATCGGATGCAGATGTGAGGGCGCGGATTGGCAAAGCAAGGACTGCATTTCTACAGTTGAAAAAATATGGAACTCCAAACAACATTCAAGAAAAACCAAAATCAGGATTTTCAATACAAATGTGAAGACAGTTCTACTGTATGGAGCGGAAACTTGGAGAACTACGAAAGGCATTATCCAGAAGATACAAGTGTTTATTAACAGTTGTCTACACAAAATACTTCGTATTCGTTGACCAGACACCAACAGGAGAGGAAAAACCAGATTCGAGATGAGGAGGAAATGAGGAAGAAGCGGTGTAAGTGGATAGGACACACACTACGAAAAGCACCTAACTGCGTCACGAGACAAGCCCTCACATGGAACCCTCAAGGCAAAAGGAAAAGAGGAAGGAAGAAGAACACATTACGCCGAGAGATAGAGAAAGATATGAGAGGAATGAACTAAAATTGGACAGAAGTGGAAAGGGAAGCCCAGGACAGAGTGAGTTGGAGTAAACTGGTAGGCGGCCCATACTCCGCTGCTGGTAACAGGCGTAAGTAATTAAGTAATATGTGACTGGGATATATGATCGCATATCTGCGCTTATAAGTTCGCTTGAATCGTTCCTGAATGTAAAGTTTCATTTCCGCAGATAACCTAAGCGTTGAGATAATGGGAAAACTTGCAAACTGTTGATTTATCACACCTTCGTTTGGGTAATATTGTGACAGTTTATATTCAAGTGGTTCCAGTTTTTTCGTTTTGTGTTTGAAATGTTTCTGAAGTGTCTAGTTTTTGCATTTTATTTGCACAAAGCTCGTGAATAATTATATGCTATTAGTTCAGATTTATCGTATGTCTTTATATTCATAACAATAAACCCAAATCCTGATGAATTGAAATTGAATCTTTGGTGCGTATTTTCATGAAACGTCAACTGCAGATTCGGCACAGCATCTCAAAACGAATCGACAGGGCGGAGTGCACCTCCGATTGTATGTAATGAGCTCTATACGTTCCCGTACATTTTCATTCCTTTACATTTGGACTCACGTTTACTGAAACTCGGAAGGTTGTTTGGCGATTTCGCCTACCTTAGTTAACTTACGTAACTAGTTCAATCAATACATATCCAGAGTTAATTAAGGGATCAATGTTTCACCATTGAGAATAGTTGCTTGATGGATTTTATTACTCTTTAAAGTGTTATACAAGATAAATTTGAAATAGTTTGAAAGAGTTATGTTTAACGGGAAAGTAAAGTCAAAAAAATCTAGTGCAAAAGTGCTAAGCCAGGTTCCTCTAACCTTCGGGTTGTTAGAAAGGTAAGCAGCTGTTTTAAAGTGTACAGTAACGGTAATATACTAGATATAAAACTAGGTTAATAGCATTCCAATGTCAGAAACTGTCCCACTTATGAAATTTGTCTTTTTTTCTGAGCAGATTTTCGCGCACTATCGTCCTCGGAACTTTTGGCCACTGAGAGATTTAGTGTTCCGACCTTTAAAGACAACAGTACGTTCAGTGATTGTGAGAAATTCACTGCGGATAAAGTATTTAAATTATATCGGTAT